TAGGGAGCTGCTAACAGTTTGGTACAGGCCCTTTCTTTGCACATGTACCCACAAGCATGTAAACGTGTGTTTACATACATGTTTACATTTTTTACTAAACGTGTCATGCTGTGCAAATAGGAAATAGCCTGCATTTCTCAGTTTTCAAGTCAACATTGGTTTTGATGGCTACATTAGCCTTTTTTCTGGCCGTCTGGATTGTTTCTAATTGTTTGCTATCAAATAGCCTTGTTATATCCATCTTAGCACTTTCCTCTGCTTACTTCTTGAGGGACAGAATTTAGAGTGGAATTGTGAAGACTCATGCATGTATGCACATTGTGAAGGCTTTTCCTCTGACAGGTCTTACCATTCACACTCCCAGCCAGCGGAGAGGATATGCCCTGTATAGCATAAACATGTTTTCATCTGTGCCTCTCTTTGCCTTTCCCTTGGGAGTTTTTGAGCAACTTTCAGGATGAAAGGACTAGGTCAGTCCTGCCTGCTCCTCAGTGCCTGGTTGAGACCTTGGTGCCCCTCTTTTTCCGGGCAGAGTGGCACCCTGAAGACGGCTCTGTTGGACTACACCAAGCGCTGCCGCCCTGGGGACAGCGAGAAGCACAACATGATCGCGCTGTGCTTCAGCATGTGCCGGGAGATCGGCGAAAACCACGAGGCAGCTGCCTGCATCCAGCTGAAGCTGATCGAGTCTCAGCCCTGGGGTATGCAGAGGTCACGGCAGCACCCCCGGGGTAGTGCTGCTGGCCGGGGAAGGGTCTCAGGGCTAGCTAAGTAGTGCAAGAAACCAGGAGACTTAACACCCACCTCAGCTTCTTGACATTCAGCCAGTGGGTCCCAGAAGGGCGGAAACGGGGCTGGAAGGCCTAGCCTGTGCGTCCAGAGGTGTCATCTGTCAGGAACCAGTGTATGCTGAGGCTGTGGACACCTGCCAGGACGTCTCAGAGGAGTGAACTAGATGGGGCAGTGAATCCCACTCTGGTGTGGAGAGGGAGTGAGCGAGCGTCTCTCACTTCACCCGGGTGAGACACGCCCACCTCCCTGTGGACGCGAGCTGGGCTGTGTCTCTAGCCCACCCTGCTGCTGAGTGGGGGAGAATAGCCCCCTCTGGGAGCCAGACACACCCCCGCTTGCTCTGTCCCCCGCAGAGGACAGCCTCAAGCACGGGCAGCAGCTGAAGCAGCTGCTGTTGAAAGCCCTGACGCTGATGCTGGACGCAGCGGAGAGTTACGCCAAGGTAACCGTGAGTCTTACTCCAGACTGGCCTCGCGGCTTGGCGTTGCAGGAGGAACAGCTTTGTTCCGCTGCTGGAGTGGGTAACAGGGGAGATGTCCCAAGTCGTCATCGGTGCCTGCCTCCGCCCTCACCCCTCAGGACTCCTGCGTGCGCCAGGCCCTGCGCTGCCACCGGCTCACCAAGCTGATAACGCTTCAGATTCACTTTCTGAACACTGGCCGGAACACGATGCTCATCAACCTGAGCCGCCACAGCCTGCTGGGCTGTGTCGCAGCCCTGCCTCGCTTCTACCAGGTGAGCGTCGAGACCCACCGGCACCGCCGGCCTCGTCTCTCCTGGTGTCCCGGTCGTAGAGCCCAGAGGCCGAGCGGCTTCCCGAGAGGCCTCAGCTCAGCCGGCTCCCCCGACTCGGCTGTCTGATCCGTCCAGCTGCCTTTCCACAGCGGCGCTTTCTCACCAGCATGTTGTCTGGGCAGAGGCTGGAGACGGCGAGACAGCACACTGCCCCCTTCTCCATGCTGTTAAGCCTTTGCACCTGGACAGCTGAGGTTCAGGGTAACATCCCTGCTCGTGGTCCCGTGAGGACCTCTGAGCCCAGCGTTTCCAGAATGTGTGCACTTCTGGGTATGCATAATAAGCCAGGGCTTCGGGGAGGTCGGTTCCAGCCCTTTAACATGGAGGGACAGTTATCAGGGAATCAGCCCTTTCACTGAACAGAGCTGAGTGACAGAGAAAAATCTTCAGCAGTTCTTTTAATCCAGTGTTAAGATTAGAAACACCGAAGGAAGGTATTTGGGGTGTCAGGGGAAGGATAATATCAAACTTTTCACCAACCCTGATAGACCGCCTTTAACATCATCGGTGACGGTCACACTCGGTGAGCGTGCACAGCGTGGAGCTGTTTTCTAGACTCATTGCCTCTAATGGTGTCCTTCTTCCCTCCATCCTTCTAAGGCTTCTATTGTGGCAGAGGCCTATGACTTTGTTCCTGATTGGGCTGAAATTCTGTATCAACAAGTGATTCTTAAAGGAGACTTTAATTATTTGGAAGAATTTAAGCAGCAAAGATTATTAAGACCCAGTATATTTGAAGAGATTTCAATAAAGTAAGTATTAAAATGCTTCTGCTTTGATATCAGGCATGAGTGAGAATTTTATAGGTATAACATGTCTAACCCCTTGGCTTGAGATGGCAAAGAGATGTCAAGAATATCCAGAAGGATAAGATCTTTTAACAGATTTATGCAGAGGAATGAGAATAGTTTGCTTACGATGCTCTGTATCTAAAATGGGAGGAGAGCTACTCAGCTGGCCTGAGGTGGCAAAAGCACTAAACATCAGAATATCCCTTTGGAGCAGGAAGTTAAGGCCAGCATTAAGATACTCATTTTTAATGACGTTGCATTGTTACCAAGCATTGACAGTGAGGGCTAGCCTAGTACCCTAGTATTAACTAGACTCAAGCACCTTCTTCTCTGATAGACAGTAGTAAGTGTCAGAGCTGATAGCCCTTGCCCAAGATACAGTGTCTTAATCTGTACATTCTTGCTTCTCTGTTTAGATGTAAACATCATCAGCCTACAGACTCTGTTCTGAAAAACCTGAAGAAGTTACTCACTTACTGTGAAGACATCTACTTGTATTACAAGCTGGCATACGAACACAAACTTGATGTTGTCAATGTGCTTCTGAAGGACCCTCAGACCGGTTGCTGTCTAAAGGACATGCTAGCAGGTTAGGATGGATTCAGATGACACACGAGGATGGTTACTGCCAAGAATTCTTAAGTGCCTGTTTTCTTGTACTGAAATGAGGTACTTACAGGATGTTTGTGGTCAGCCTAGAGAGAAATGCAGTGGGGATCTTTGATGTCTGATTGTAAAACACCAGGACTGACCATACCAGTCCTTTGGTGAATAGTGGGTAAAAGGATGAGAAGTTTTCACAAGGAAATTCCTTTTCGAAAATGATTATATGCATCTATATCATTTTTTTCTATATACCAATATCTATATATTGGTATTAAGATCAAAAGTTCCATCTTCCTCAGGATAGTTTTACTTTAGGAGATGATACAATATTTAGTAAAGAATAGCTGTGCCTGCAGATTCCAGTTTCAAAGGAATTTAATATTATTTACACAGTTGAGGAAACAGATGATACATTTCCATTTGTTAGAAACTGATCTCTATAATAAAATAGATTTTAAATTCAGTGTATGTCATTATTGATGCTGAGGAAATCTTGGCCCTTGGCTGCCTTGAAGGAAGCAACGTTTATTGGCTGTAATTACTGCTGGAGAGTCACTGCATTCTACAGATTCCTCAAGTCACTGATGGTCCTATCTCCACTAGGTGGTCTACAGAGCTCTGACTGAGGCTCCTACTCCTATGTAAGAGAAATTTAAAATACTTGCTCTGTCCCTATTTTTGATTCCGTGGCAGTTTCCAACAAAGACTCTAACCACAGATTTGGTTAAATTGATTACTATAATATATATAATAGAGAGGATCACCCAGTCTCTGCATACAGCCATCACCTGAGTTATATAAGCTCAGTTACTCCAAATAAATACGTCTAGGTATTTAATTAGGCCTTAGTATCTAAGCAACCAAATAATTTCTCCAAATAAATAAAAGAGGAATGCAGCTCTATACCTTTGTTGCTCTAGAGAGACACTATTAAGGACTTTGCAAATCATTTTTCTTCTAAAACTACATCTACTCATCAAGCACTTATAAAGCTTTGTAAGTATATAGAGAACTCTAGTCCCAAGAGCTTTTGTTCTGTACTCTCCAAAAATATCTCTTGGGAGGTAACACAAAGTTTAAGTCCTCACAATAGTGACTTTATTAAATTAGTTGCTTTATAAAACATTGCAGATGTCATAATTGTTAACATAACAATTTACCAAACTGTAGTTAACTGGTGCAGTTTGCTGAGCATGTTTTATAAAGGAAAGGAAATGGCAAAACCCAGTTAAAGTTGTTCCACTGCAGCCCTGGAGAACAAAGGAAGATTTGTTTCTCAATTACAAATAAAACAGGTGAGGACTTTCCCTCCCCCATCTGAAGCACTCCGTCAGTACAATAGTCTGATAAATAGAAACTAGACAGTCTATGCAGTCAAGAGATTCCACAACGTGTAATGCAATAATGGAGAGGTTTACCTTCTTGAGCTTCAAAGTTGGAGGGTTTTGGTCATTTAATTAAGTATCAGACTAGTGCTTTGCAGCCGCCGTATCTTCACTCTGAGATTATCAGTCTTCTTCACAATGTATTTTTAATATCCTCACGCTCAATTTTAAGACAAAGCAATTTTAATACTAGGTGCACACCACATGCCCTTGCAGCAGACCGCTTTTCTTGACAAGTTATGAAGTAGTTCAAGGAGGTATGGTTAAGGCTGTATTACTGAATGGTGCTGGTAAATACTACACAATTTGTTTTGTCATGTTGCAACCTTTGTTTCCAATTTAGTGACTGCTGCTATGGAATCAGATAGCAACAATGACAACATCATTAGGTTTGTTTTTTAAAACTATGATTTAGTAGCAATAGAGGTTCCCAATTTTAACCCCTTGGCAACAAGATCCAAGTTCCATCATTTGCACATTAGCACCTAAGTGTCAAGGGATTAAATAACCAGCACAAAAGATACTGCACTTCTGATTGTAGCATTTGGCAGAACTGAAAGGAAAGGAAGTTGTGCTACATGTTGAAGGGACTGTGGGCAACAGAAAGAAGACACCAGGAGAAGATAAAACGTCACATGAAGTCTTCATAGTCTTGTACGTATCCGCCATCATAACCACCATAATCTGCCAGATCATCTTTCATGGTGGCCTTTAATCCCCCTCCAGGAACCACACCTTTCTTCTTCTTTTTGGCTTTGCTTTGCTGAAGATAAAAGAGAGTTAAGTCATAAGACTTTAATATGGGCACCTTATTTGGTACAGCAACCCTCAAGAGTCAAAAAAAAGCCTCTGATTCCAGAATTAAGCCAGGGTAATTTCTATTATTAATTTAGAAAAAACATGAACATATCTATAAACAAAAGGATGATAATGGCACACTCCTGTTCTATTCCAATATAAATGGTATTGGTGAACTCTTGACTTCTCCTCACTAACCTTGGTGAAAATACCATGTCTACACCCCAGTGTTTGTGTAATACACATTTCCCACACAACTAGCTCTTTTACCTTTTCTTGCTTCTGTTTCTCACTGCAGAGTACAGTCAATGAATTGGTAATCTTTTTCAAGTCATCAATTTCCACTAAAAAAAATAATAATTTTTAAGAATTTTAGAGCATAAGTAAAAAAGCAAAACACACATTCTTCACAGTGTCATGACGAATCTAATTTGTCCATCATTAACTTCAGTAACTTTGAAAAGGCTGTTAATTTCTCCTAACATGATAGAGAATCTTTTAAGTGTATGGCTAGGCTCACAAACCAGAACTGCTTAAAATGGCAAGCCCAGCAACAAAACTTCATGATGATCTATAATCGCCAAGACCCCACTGTTAAACCAGAAACTGGACACATCTACAGCTTGCAGTGTTCCCTACCATCCTTCCTTATCCAGTCTAGACACATAAAATAACCATGTCTTATGGAAACAACACATCCTTGATTTTCAGTGAGGAGCATCTGAATCAATACGGAAGGCCAATCCTTAAACCCACAGACGACAACTCCCCGGCCCTTGAGGTCTCCATTTTCTAGCACAAGAATGAAAATAGTAGGTTATCTCAGAAGTCTTAAGTGCCTGCCCTACCAGGAAATAAACTTGGCCAACACATCCTTCCACCCCATTAAAATATAAAGCTAGGAACAGACATGAGTTTTTAGCTACCAAAAGAAGTGTTCAATTTTGGTTAGCACCTCTGAAACAGAAAAAAATAGTGTGTACAAAATAAAACGACAACTACAGGCATATTGCTGACCAGATTTAGAACCTTCCATTTAGTAATCATTTCCCAAAGAAAATCCACTTTAAAATTCCTGTGAAGAATTCATCCTCAGTCTTAAAAACAGTAAATACTAGCAAAACTAGTCCCTTCCACCGTGGTGCTATATACCACCACTGGTTGGCACTCCCATTCCCCATGCCCCTGAAACGTGCGCCTCTTCTGGGAGCACGAAACGAAATCCACGGACCCACAGAATGGCTGGCAGCTCGTGCAGCTGGCTTCCTCATTTATAAAGTGAAAAGACACTCATCTGTGGTCTCAGTTCTAAAATTCTGTATGATTTTCCCCAAAAGATACTTCCTTAGCTCCCTTCAATATAAAACAAGAAGCTAGTCTTTTATTCGCTGTTGTGCCAACAAGCACAGATGTCCCTCTGGGAAGCCACTGTAAAAACACTAAGAAAGCATCCTCAAAAGACCACTTAGTGTGTATTTGCAGAACAACATTCCTAAACTACCTGCTAAAAAGCAAATCTTCAGTGTATTAAAACATCCCCTACTTAAATCCATCCACAGGGGTCAGAGATGAGAATTACTTACATGAAATACAAACATCTCGAACTAAGGCTTCCAAAAAATTGGCATAATATAGTGACTTTTCATATTGTGTAATTTTATCTTTTAGTAACTTTCCAAACTCTGTGAAGTCATCTCTCGAGGACGGGTTCATAGCATCTATTCCATAAACTGTATTATTAACACCTGTAGGAGAAAGGGGAAAGGGGACACACAAAATATCAGAAGATTTTTTAAAATTTAGAAACCTATCAGATATCTAAATAACCCTATTATTATTTCATTCTAAAACAGAGGTTCTCAACCTGAGTCGACTGAAATCTTCGGACAGAATTCAAGTGGTTTGTACATAATTACTGTATCACAGGTTATTTCAATATTTTGATACATATTCCAAAATAATAGGTTTCCTTTGTAAGTAAAATCTTCTGTATTTTATGCATTTAAAAACAGTATGTTAAGAAGGGAACCATAGGCTTCACTTGGCCCAAAGGAGTCCCTGGCACAAAAGGGATGCTCTAAAAGCATTTGTCCAAGAATAGCCCACAGCAAAGATGGAAGAGAAAGAAAAAAAGCAAACAGAGATGGTTCCTGTGAAAGTATCCAGCTAACTACAGAAGCTAAGTAGGAGTAAACCATGTGTTAAATCCCAACAGAAAAATTAGCTTAAAAGGATTCTAGGCTGTGAGACACGATGCTTCTTATGTGTGCTGTGTGTGCTCAGTCGCGTCCAACTCTTTGCAACCTCATGGACACGGGATTTTCTAGGAAAGAAGACTGGAGTGGGTTGACTCCCCTACCCCAGGGGATCTCCCCCACCCAGGGATCAAACCTGCAGTCTCTCGCGTCTGCTGCACTGGCAGCAGATTCTTCCTCAATAATCAAGTAATCACTTGCTAACACTGATCCAATATTTTAGTATTAGAAACACAACACTAAAATCCTATTAACCAAATGATCACTGTATGAATACATGTTTTTGCTTTTAATCGACAACTGGTGTCCCATCTTAGAATTTATTACCACATAAACCCTTCTCTCTAATAAACACTATGGGTGCCTTTTACCACCCTATGAAGACAGGATACTGGGCACGTGCCCACTGCAGTGAGACGAGAGTGGTGGCGACATGTCAAGCACTCGCCAGTACACGGGAGCATCCACAGCAACTCTTGAGACTGCTGAAGACTCACTGAGAGGTTAGCTCACACTCGCAGTGAAAAGCAGAGTGTTCACTACAGTCAGCCTGCTTGGTCCATTTTAAAGAAGGGACGGGGAGAGAGCAAAATAACTAGATCCTTCTAGGTTTCATCTCAAGGTTATTTAACTGTGAAACAGGATATTCTACTCTGAAAAAAAATAAAATGAGAACTTTTTAAACTATTTCTCTGACTTTGTATCTTTATCCTCCAGTGCCATGTAACTCCCCCTGGAACTCTCTAAACTTACTATCCATTTACAGAATCCTGAACATACCTTTTATCTTCTACACTAACCACAGCTGCAGGCATGGGACACGGACGTGGAAGTCCTCTGGAGGAAGGGCATGGTGAAGGCCAAGAAGGGACAGCCTCAGCCTCACCGAGGCCAGCATGCTCTTGTCTAGATCCCACCAGACTTAAGACAATGATACTTCTACAGTCAAACATTTAAACCTCAGAAAGTTACAGGCTCCACACTTCACCCAAATTTCATCCAGCTGATAACATATACTTAAATCAGCAGTATACTTTATTTGGGTTCAATAACTTAATCATCTTTTATACAATACTCAAATTATTCAAAAATCTGAGCATATATCTCACTGTGTTAAGTAATGAAGCCTCAAATACAAACAAAAGAGATTAAGAACTGCTTTCTAATACCTAAGTTATCATGTTTCTCCATAAAAGATGTTTTCTGAATTTTCAAACCAGTAAGACTTCCACAGTATTCACTTACAACTTCAATACTACACTGTTACACACCCCCACTTACCAAAAGTTTCTTTTGCTAATTCGAGGTCAGACTCTTCCTGTAATTTCTTAAGCCGCAGTTTATCTGCTAACTGTTCTTCTGGTGTTAGCATTTTAGGTTCTTCAGGTTCTTCTAACTAAAATGAGACAATGAAGTTTGAAAACAGCTGGTTATAATGAACACAGTACATGTCTGTACTGTATAATTTTTTTTTCTAGACATACAAATAATAGCAAACATTCATAGTGTTTATTGTATTTCTACAGTAAATTCTTTTAGATATCCCTTTCCTAATGTTACAGGAAAAAAACCCGAGTCACAGATTAAGCAGCCTGCCCATGGTAACAGAAGGTTAACACAAGTGGTAATGTCAAAGAATTGAGACTTGAACACTGGGTTTATTTCATGGTAATTTTTTTTAAATTAAGGACTTGAGGTTGCAGACAAGTTGAAAATATCTCTCTTAAATTCTGGCTAAAACTGTATACTGAAAAATCTTTTCTAGAGTAACTTTTGTAATATTTATCAAGTCTTTAAAATACACTATATGCTTTAATCAAATAATTCCACTTTGAGGCATTCCTCTTAAGAAACCAAAGATGCACACAAATATTTAACCAAAAGGAGGTCAAATGAATATTATGATAGTCATAATATCAAATAAATGTAGAGATGATCTAAATATTCCACAACAGAATGGTTAAAGTATATGGCATATCCATAATATTATGTAGACATACAAAAAAAAATTTCTTCAGAGAATTAGAAAAACATTTCCCCCTTATTTATCGTTTTATTCCACTTCTTTGAGATGACAATAGTCTAACTTATATCCTTTCTATATACCATAAGTTTCTATAACAAATATGTTACTGAGAGGAGATACCTTTGATAATATTTATCAAAGTAGGAAAACAGTGAAGGGAATTTGTGCCATTCACAATTATCCATGCCTGTGCAGTTGGAAGATTTTGATTTAGAAGGCCACTTCTGAAACAGGTCACATTTTATTTCTCATGGAGAAGATTTTTCTAGAAAAAGGGAACTATCTCAACTATTGATAGACCTGAACACCCTTATTTCCTGCATCAAAACTTGAGTGTGTTTTAACTCAATACTTCACCTAAGATAAAATTAATTCACTGAGTGTAAGGTTTCTTTATTTTGGAGACTAATATCAAGATACAATAAAGTAAGTATAATGCTAAACTTCAATGACCAACTTCTTAGACTGAGCTGTAAGAATCCATTGCTTGCTTATTCTGAACAAATAAACATGCATGTAAGTATATTTAGATATATAAATACAAGATTACTAAATAGTATCTAAAGTGTTCTTGACTGGGGAGAAACAGACATTCTCACGTATTGTTGGCTATGATAATTTGGTACTAAAAAGGAATGACGGTAGCTGATTCCAGGCCTGAGAGAGTTTACCGGATGAGCTCATTGTGCCAGAGAACAAGGAACCTTTCAAAGACTAGCAGGGTTCTGTGAAACAGAGGAAGATAGGAACACCTTAGAGTGATCCCTGTTGTCCAACACTGGGACAATTTAAGCATCAAAAAAATAATCACTATATCTAAATGAAATTCATAAAAGACCATAAATTTACTCAAAAAGAAAAAACTGAAACCCACAAAATCCTTCATTTTTCACCTCTTAAAGTTACCACACCGGCTCCTTACTCTGAAAATTAGTAATTAAAAGAATTAAGCTTTTATGCTTTCTAGTACAAACCATATTCAAAGTAACCAAATAGAAAAAAGGGGGAAAAAGCCAGCCAATAAAAAAACAGAAGTCATAGAATGAAATATCACCATTCTGCCACACCTAAAGAAATAATTAGGTAATGATCATCAATGACACTAAAACTAACCATAAAACTGCATTACCAGGAAAAAGAAATCTGTAATTTTACAAGAGAAGGACCAGGTTGTCATCAACTTAACTCAGTAATCAATTTTAGCATCATTAATAGTAGTACAGACATTATATGACTCCTGATGTGACTGATGCAACACGAAGCATACAGCATTATATCTGAAATATTCCAACCAAAAATGTTCAATCTAATTCCAATTAACTTCTAGACTTCACTGCCAAGTTACAAGAAACTAACTACAAGGAAGCAGTCAGAGAAATCGAGAAGGTGGGGTGTTCTGCAGGACAGCTGCCCTGCTCTTGTCAGCCAGTCAGTGTCATTCAAAAGAGAAAGACAGACCCTGGGAGATTTAGAATACATTTAACAACCAAATAAATGCAAGGTGCTTGCCTGAAGAAATCATATGTACGGATATTTTGGGACAAAGAAATGCACATAAACTGAATACAGATGATGTTTAAAAATGACTTACATGAGGAACGTAATTATGTGAGAAACAGCTTTGCTTTTTCAGAAATGCATACTGAAGTATTTAAAGGAAAAATGCATAATGTCTGTTATATATTGGATTATATTTTAGCAAAAAAAAAAAAAACAGAACAGGTGAAGCAAGTTGGCAAAATATTAACAACTGGTAAATTTAAGGTGATTTGTAGATGACCCATTATGCTATTTTCTTGAAATTTCTCTTAATAAAAAGTCAAGGGAAGCTTTGCGCAGTGGCAGTTTATCCGAGGCGCGATTATTGCTAATTGAAAAAGAGAGCCAAGGGAGTTCCCTGGTGGCCCAGTGGTTAGGCGCTTTTACTGTGGAGTTGGTTCACCAGGTTAAAGATAAAATAAGAAATCCTGCGATGATCTATGGTAAGATTTCCATGATTATTAAATAAAGCCAAGGTGAAAACAATAAAAAATGGGTGGAATATGACCATACAGTTGTATACAAATACATAAAGTCACCTTGGAGACATCATAAACCAGTATTTACTTATAGGATAAAGGGAAAGAAACAGAACAAATCTGTGAAGAGTTGGGTGCCCCTCTTACTATCCTTTTGATTTCTGAATCATGTAAATGTGTTTTCTATTCAAAAAGTAAATGAACACAAAATTCCTGATCTTGCTCCAAATAATCAAAAACATCTATATAGTACATGGCAGAGAAAAGGATGCTTTTTGTATTTATTCAAAATGTACACTGCCCATTAAAAAAAAAAAAAAAAGACTATAATCCCAGCTAGAGAGAACTGCAGGGCACTGACAAAAATCCCTGACTATGGTCACAAGACAATCCTGAGTGCTTCCAAATGTCTGTGAAAATCTAAAAGGCATTCTAACACGTAAAGCTTCTGGGTTTGGTTTTTGCAAAAACCACAAATTCAGTTTGTCTGGGATCACTTTATCTGATGATGTCCACTTACAGCCTTTACAAAGCCCTTTAAACGGTCAGGTAACATTTGCTGCTTGTTATGATACTGCACCACTACTGAGGTGAGAATTCTGTATTATGGAAAGTAAATAGGACTTACTCTCTTTTTAATTTCTTCTTGCCTTTTCTTCTGCTGCCGTTCTTTCTCTTTTATTTTCTCTGCTATTTTTTTCTTTTCTGAAATTTTTACTTCTGAAAGTAAAGAAATGTTTTAATCACAGTTAATCTTAAATATTTTCTAGTTTATGAATGAGACAGACATGATACTTATATATTTCAAAAGATCAAACCTCTCCCAGCTCCAATTTAGATGGTGATTTGCTAAGAATAGAAAAGTTCTTCCTTTCTCCTCTCTAATCTAACCCCTAAGATCCAAACGCCTCCTTTCATATTTCCCCACAGTCCTTTAGGTAGGACTTAGACCATTCAACTGTGATGCCTCATCCTCTAATCTGATTATATTTTAAAGAGAGAGAAAAAAGAGATGCAGGGAGAAGAGAATGAACTGGAAACAGAAGGATGCTTGGTTTCTAAAAATAACCAAAATTTCCTACGTTGCAGCATTTTGTTAGCTGTCTTAACATAAGCATCAGATTAAGCTCTAAACCCCAAACAGAGGAAACCCAATGGATCACCTGGCTTTACTTCTGCTGCTGCTTTTTTTTCATCATCATCATCATCCCAGTTATCCTAAACAAAAGAAAACTTCATTAATAATTCTTGCATGCTTACTTTTCCATCTGATCCTTATTATTCTAACACCACAGAAACAAGTTTGCTGGGGTTTTGGGTTTTTTTTTTTTGGTGTTACATTAAATTTATAATTTTGGGAGAACTGACATAATGTTGAACTGCCCTAGCCTAGAAAAAGGGCTATCTTTTCATTTGTTCACGCCTACCTCTGTATCTTTCAAAGAATGTTTTAAAGTTTCTCTTAAAGGATTTTGCGAATTTCTCATTAGGTCTATTCCTAAGTATTTCGTCTTCCCTGTTGCCGTTGTAAATTTTTTTTTTCCATTTTCTGCCCTCTAACTGGTTATTATTTTATCACAGAAAAGCTACAGGCTTTGCACATTAACTTTACACCCTACTACTGTATGTATGTAAATACATACATGTTGTGCTCAGTCGTGCCCGACTCTTTGTGACCTTATGGACTGCAGCCCACCAGGCCCCTCTGTCCATGGGATTTTCCATCAAGAATACTGGAGTGGGCTGCCATTTCCTACTCCACGAGATTTTCCCGACTCAGGGATCAAACTCGCATCTCTCGCGTCTCCTGCATCAGCAGGCAGAGAAGATTCTTTACCACTGCACCACTTTGAAACCCACTTTGATTACATTTATCACTTAAGTTAGTTCCATCACTGAGTCTCTATGGTCTTCCAGGTATACTACCATATCATCTGCAAATGAGATAGCTTTATTCCTTCTTCACAAATTTGTGTGCCTCCACAATTGATTTCACTTATCTAATCGCACTAGCAAAACCTCTAGTATAGTGTGAAAAAACAGTGGCAGAGAAAACGGGGATCAAGTCCTTGTTCTTCTCTTAATGGAAATGCCTACAGTGTCTCCCCGCGAAGTGTTATGTACCCCACCACATTTATGGAGTAAAATTTAAAACTTTTCTTTTAATGCTCTGAATTCCAAGTCAATTAGAAAGTCTTTTCTTAAAGCAAGGAATTTTCTTCTAGAAGATGTATGCTTCCATTGTTTTTTCATTTAGATCTCTGATCCTTTGCAATTTTTTTCTTTTCTACGATGGATCTAAGTATGGATCTAATTTTATTTTTTCCCAAATAGTTACCCACTTGTCAAAGCACCATCTATTGAAAAGTCCACCTTTCTAATATTTTATAATAACTATAAATGGAGTATCATCTTTAAAAAGTGTGAACCACTATGTTGGTTCCAAATAGGGAAAGGACTATGTCAAAGCTGTATAATGTCACCCTGTTTATTTAACTTATATGCAGAGTACATCACGAGAAATGCTGGACTTGATGAAGCACAAGCTGGAACCAAGATTGCTGGGAGGAATATCAATAACCTCAGATATGCAGATGACACCAGCCTTATGGCAGAAAGCCAAGAGGAACTAAAGAGCTTCTTGATGAAAGTCAAAGAGGAGAGTGAAAAAGCTGGCTTAAAACTCAACATTCAAAAAACTAAGACCATGGCATCCAGTCCCATCACTTCACGGAAAACAGATGAGGAAACAGTGGAAACAATGACAGACTTTATTTTCTTGCGCTCCAAAATTACTGCAGATGGTGACTGCAGCCATGAAATTAAAAGACGCTTTGCTCCTTGGAAGAAAAGCTATGACCAACCTAGACAGCATATTAAAAAGCAGAGATATTATTTTGCCAACAAAGGTCCGTCTCGTCAAAGCTATGGTTTTTCCAGTAGTCATGTATGGGTGAGAGTTGGACTATAAAGAAAGCTGAGCACTGAAGAATTGATGCTTTTGAACTGTGGTGTTGGAGAAGACTCTTGAGAGTCCCCTGGACTGCAAGATCAAATCAGTCAATCTTAAAGGAAATCAGTCCTGAATAGTCACTGGAAGGATTGAATCTGAAGCTCCTCCAATACTTTGGCCACCTGATGCGAAGAACTGACTCATTGGAAATGACCATGATGCTGGGAAAGATTGAAGGCGGGAGAAGGGGACGACAGAGGATGAGCTGGTTGGACGGTATCACCGACTAGATGGACGTGAGTTTCAGCAAGCTTCAGGAGTTGGTGATGGACAAGGAATCCTGGCGTGCTGCAGTCCACGGGGTCGCAAAGAGTCGGACGCGACAGAGCTGACACTGTATACCTGAAGCCTGTAATACTGCCAATCAACTACACTTCAGTGTTTAAAAAGCCGATCTCCGCCCTGTGATTTAACCATATCCTGAGTGTTCTTAGACACTGGATCTATTTCTGCGTTCTATTCTATCCCACTGGTTTGTTGTCTCTTCATGTACCAGTACCTACTGTTTTAATTAGAGGCTTTATAGTATGTTTTTAATGTAAGCTGGGGCTAATCCCCCCTTTTCAGGTTTTTTAGTGTTTTCCTGGCCATTCTTGCACACTTATTTCTCCATATGAACTTTTACATCAAGCTGTATAACTCCACAAAAAAGCTTCTCCATTAACAGTTAAAACACAAGACCACCAAGCCAAAACTAACAGCCTCTCTTAAATAATCCACAGTAGTTTTAAAGAAAAATTGAGCTGTCTTTATACTTCTTACTTCCCCAAATGTAAAAGCATCCAACATTCTGGCTAATCGTTTTAATTATTTCAAGCAATAGTCCATACAACGTAACCCTGGCTAATGAATTAAATCTTTATAAAAATTTAAGCCCAACATTGTAAATCAACTATATTTCAATTTTTAAAAATTAAATTTAAAAAAAAAGAAAAAAGAGTTAAGCTCAGAACAATAGAAGAATCAAGAGCTGATCAACAGCTTCATGGAACCAACTCCCTAACTTGGGCGGGGTACTTTAAGGTGGCTCTGTAGTCTCTTTCCTATGCCTAGCAGAGTCACTGAGCTAAACATAAAACAATTATCAATCTTCTAAAGGGTCCACAGAATTTAGAAGGTTTAAGTTTAACAGAGAAAGACACAGTCCTGTGTTTAAATAGGGCTTTAACCTACAGGTAACCTGACCACTGTCTCAGCCACCATCAGGCACCCGAGGACACGCCAGTCTGAAGCTGAGCAGAAGGTGACGGGCAAGGCAGGAGGGGCAGGGCTGACTCATGTGCCACAGCTGCGACGCCAAGCTTCTGGCTTCATAACGCAAGAGGCTGTAAATCTGAATCAGGCTAGGTCTGTAAACTAAGCCTTGATTCTTAATAAAAATCTAAATCCAAAGAAATAAAAAAATCCTGCAAGGCTGCCATGGAGTGGGAAGAACTTTGAATTTTAGTATTTTTATAATCACTTTACCTTTGCAATTTAACCCACAGTTCATAGTTAACACACACAATGAAAGCAAACCAGCGAGTCACTGTCTGAACATCTACGAGTTAGAAATCAGACGGTACACGTCCGTGTCACCCTGCCGGTTTGCTTAAGTGCTCTATCAGTACACCGTTGTACAAAAGGAACCAAAGAGCTAAAACTAAAAGCTGACTACTACTAGAAGTCTTTTGTCACTTTCATCTTCACAGAACATAAAAGCTGGGTTTGTGAGTGGTACGCTGCTTAGATGGTTCTCAGATGCAAGAACTACCTGCTTACTTCCAGGGAATGTTTGTAACTCCCTACTAATAACAGTGATGCTGATTTAACAGTAACAACAGACTGCATTTACCAAGTGCTTACTGGGCACTAAGCACTATGCAAAGGACTTCATGTTTAAATTTTTTAAATTCTTTGGCCACGCTGCACAGTTTGTGGAATTTTAGTTCCCTGACCAGGGACTGAACTTGGGCCCGTGGAAGTGAGTCCCAACCACTGGACTGCCAGGGAAGTCCCCAAAGAACTTTACATATAGTAACACAGTTAACCCTCACAAAAATCCTGCAAGTAAAGTAGTGTTATCCCCACTTTACATTAAGGACGATAAGGCCCAGAGATAACAACCACATAATCTGAATGGAAAAATAATGAAGGAACCTGTTTTGAACAGGACAAGATTTCTTTAAAGTGTCATATTAAACATCATTTCTTACCTGAATCCTGAAGTACAAATGTCTGGGAACTAGGTCCCTCCACACCAAAATTTGTTCTTTCAATTAGTCCTGGAATGGAGTCCCCTGGAATTGCAGGGAATCCCATATCAAAGAGAAGGGTTATGGTACATACTAAGATATGCCCTGCTACAACTATGTCAAATACCCATCTCAAATCGCCTGTGATGGATTTCCACTAATTTTAACAGAGGAGGCTAGCAGCCTCTAGGAGCAGGTGCTCAAGAGGAGCGAGGCGCAGCTGAAAACCAGCAGCGCCATCCCAGTGACTCCCACACAGCGAAACAGCACAGCAGGGTAGGATTTGTGTTCAGTGCTGATACTCCTCAGTTCCCTTTGCCAGTAAAACCTCACCCCACCCAGATCACTGCTTTCTCAAGTGTCTCATTCACCCTGACTTTATGTCCCGCCTCTACCCCGTCCCTGGTTTTGCTACCGAAGAATAACCTTATTCTGGACAGTTGTCACACAGCCCCGTCAGTGCAAGTGTAATGAGGCCACCTAGAATTTCAGCACAGAAAAGATTTCAGTAGCAAAAACAGTGGCTCCTCTCTCTAGGTCCTGGAAACAACTACGACATTTGCTCCTCAGTTCATAGACGGACCATGAAAGGCACCCTCACCCCAGAGTGCTGGAAAAAAGTTTGCTCTGAAGTTACTCCTACACTGAGGACAAGCTCCTCAAGAAGGGAGCACAGTGACGCCGGAAGAAACAGACCGGTCACACTTCCAAGCAAATGTCGTCCCCAAAGCAGAAGGCCAGGAAGCTTTCCCCATGAACTTAAGACAGTTTTTGCATCCTTAGTTATAAAAGTAAATGCATAAAAGTAGAATGTTTAAAACTGCCCAATTTTCCATAAACATCAAGACTTTGTAAATGCTGACAATGAATTCAGATAAAATACAAGAAGGGTTACTAGAGAAACAGCTAAAATTAATGGTTGTTTTTGGTTCAGGAGTTACCTGTCAATATCCAATGAAATTCTTTAACCA